GATTCCGACCGACAAAACTTAGTAGATCGTAGAAGAAAGGGAGAGATCTTGATTTTTCTTTTCTTCTCCCTCTCTTCTCCTCTTCAACGTGAACCAATAGACAAGTGAGGAGAGAAATATCTGAAAATCAGATATTTCGCCCCTATTTATACCCTTTAATTGGGCGGTCCACATCGTATCACATGTTTCCTAATTCCGTGTCCGTTTTTGGCCCAAAACGACTTAATTTTATCTCGGTTTAAATTTAAATTATTTTTATTTGAATTTTCCTTCAATTATAAGGAAATTTTAAAATTTTCATTTTTGGGGACGTTTGTGAGGTCATCTGACCCTCAGTTGTCTCGAAAAACATGAAAAATTCGACTATCTCGGAATTCGATGAAAATTGATAAGGTAGCTCAATTTCGCAATATAAATCCAACAGTGAGGTCTGTTGCATCATTCAAGCTCTAGAAAAATACGAATTTTTAATTTCACATTATAGTGATAAATTACCATTTTACCATTTTTTAGAAAAAGTTCAAATTTACCCGAGTTTTACACAATAACTGTGTTGTAACCTTTTGAGAGACTATACCCGATATTGCCGGTAATGTAACTGTGTCAGTAGGTACTGTATAATCCCCGTAGAAGGTGTCAGTACTTTCTTAGTGAAAATACCGACTGTAGAGCTCTCAAGTCCTTCACCAATGGCCATAGCAACAATAGTAAAGCGACAACCGTGATAGAAATTACTCTAAAATAAATAGAGTCAAACAAGAGAGAATAATATGCCTCCAGTCAAACAATAGCAACAAAGAAGAGGTCTAGAAAGCTTCCAAATAACAGGTCACAAAGCCAAGAAATTCAGAAAAAATATATAGGCGATCTATTGCATCAAATTTAGATCAACGAAGTGGATCCAACCCCTCTAAAAGTCCCTTGGGTGCTTCGATCCAGGGGAAAAGAGAAACTAGCGTCGTGGAGGTGGTGGCGTTGACGGTGCTAGCGGGAAAAGGTGACGGCGCTAGTGGGATACTGGAGCTGGTGGGATGAGCTGGCCACGCTGTTGGCGTTGGTGGGAAGAGGTCTCGTGGGGAAGGCTAGGGTTTGGTGGTTTGGGTTTAGGGAGGTTAGGGATTGGCTAACTCTGATACCAGCTAGAATTATTTGGAGTAAAAAGGATGCAAAAACTGAGTGCAAATCCCTGTATATATAGTCAAATAGGAATGCAACTGACCAGAACACCGCTCTGGTTTGAGTAAGACATAAAAACCATAGTAAGAGCAAAATAGATAAAAAGCTAAACATCCTAATAACTAGGCTATAATTCCATCAGACTGTGAAGAACATAGTTATGCACCAATATAGACGCAAGTCAATATTCATATTACAAGCATGCCCTTTTGATTTGAAGATCTCATTGCTTCATTGTTTTTGTATTCATTGTGAGTTATTGAGATAAATAATTCTTTGTTTGTGCATGTAGAATATCTTCCTGTAGTTCCACCTCTCGAAAATCATAAGAAAAATGTTGTTTATTTTGCTGAGAGGGTAAGTATACTATATGCACCTTGCTGCATTGTTGGATTTTAATATCTGTTTACACATTAAAGTTTTTAATATACGAAGCCATTACAAAATTGATTGTACTAATTGTCAAGCCATTATAGGACCCTGGACAAATAGCTGAATTCTTACTTTCTTCCATGTGGTTTAATTTTTTTACTTTCTGCAATGGTAGTTCTGACCAGAACTTTGAATTCCAGAGCTCCGTAGGCCTGCTTACAAAAACCTTGGCTTGTTATTTAATCTTCAGATGCATGACCTGAAGTCAAGTTTGGCATAACTACATAATGACACTCCTTGTTCTAATTTGTGTTCTATCAAACATTTTATAACTGGAGGGAACCCCCTTTAATCACTCCTTCAGTTTACAAATATTGTTCTTTTTGCATGCTTTTATGGGACTTGATCCTTTCTCCAGATCTTTGTCTAGTATTTGCAAATGCAACTGTATGTAGAGGGTTTAATATTATGTTGACATGATTATTTCTTGCATTGCTCTACATCTATTTGCTGTTATGGGCAGTGAATTCAAAGGCCAGTGCCTAGGATTTCAGGGTCATGCAAATAGAGACTCTGAGCACAATTATAAACTAGTTTAGGCTAAACAAATAATGTTCTTCTTGGGAAAATTTTTACCAAGTTTGCAGAACCAACTTGCCACATACTCATTATGGGCATTGTAATCCTATGATATCCAGTAGAAGTTTCCATCTTGAAGATAGAGGACTCTGCCTCACCAAGTTTCCATCTACCTAGGACTTGCACGTGTGGACTCTTTCATTATCTTTATTGTGAGGCCTCCAAGTGCTGTTATTCTTTTCAGAAAATTATGCAAGAGATGAAGTTGATGTGTGAGAATTATAAAATGATCACAAATTACGTGAGGATAAAGCCAATAAAATGATGTTAGATTTTTCATGGGAAGCAGCTCCTCTCTGCTGTCTAGGAAACACAATACGCGGTGCCGTTAAAGAAAAAGTTGCCGTTTGTTAGGTTAACAAAAGTAGAATAAATTTTCTCTCTGCCTCAACCTTCAATTTGCTGTTAGAAACACCGAAAACCAAAATATCTACCTGGAACTATCCATCTCTCGTTCCATGATTGCTTTGTCCGTTTAATACGTACCCAATCAACAATGGTGAAGAAGGAAGACTATGAAGTTGTACTCCTCTGATTGAGGTGGAGTAATTTTGTCCTGGAAGGTAATGCGTTCTGTTATTATGATTTGTATCTAAAAACACCCTATTTCCTGAACAATTTAGTCAAGAGGACCTCATGAGTGTGCTCCTCAAGCAGGTCAGTTTTCTTTTCCTGGATATCCATCTACTTCAGTTTGCTATTTGAAGCATCCATCTAGAATTTGAAAATGGTGTTTATTGACTGCTTTAACTAATTCAATCTTTCCTCTAAGCAGCAGCAAGAAGGCACTGGACTAGTTGAAAATGAGTTTGGCTTTGATGGGCATCCCTTGGATGATCCTCCAGTGTAGGGCATCCTCCATGCTTTGGCTTTATCTATGATTCCACTTTCAGGATTAGACTCTCCTCTAATTTCCTGAGAATTGGAGGATCCTATATTTCTCGTTTAAATGGTTAGAATTTGTACACATTAGCAGATTCAATTGATTTTAATCTCAATAATGTAAGATATTTTGTAATCTGCAGATAGGTACATATCCAGACCAATCAAAAGAGAATCGGAGAATCCTTAGGGAGCTGACCCCCAGTTTCTAGTGTACAAAGCTACAATTACAGCTGAAGTGGACGACAAATCAGAGATTCGGAATCCCTTCAGCATTTGAAGTGATTTTTGGAGACCCATTTGAGAATTAAGGCATTAAATCAACTCTGTCCAACAATGTAATTATGAGTAGCTTAATTAGATTCTGTTTGATGGGTGGAAATTCTCTGTTTTCTGTTTTCAGTTGTTGGATGCAAAAACTCACCAGAAAACACATTTGAAGAGAAAAAATAGAAGAGATTTCTAGAAAATCTGAAAACTTGAGAGGCATCAAAGTAACTTTTTTTTTTGTGTAATTGACTTGTGTGTCGATATTTTTGTATCGTGTCATTATTATTTATGTCGTGTTTGTATTAAGACCCACAAAAAAAATTTATTTATTATGTTTGTAGTGTCAAACATTAATCTAGATTTTTTAATATGCATATTTATTGATCTTATTATGTCAGATTCATGTTATTGGGTCAGCTTTAACACCCCCTAAATCCTAATCAACTCATGGCAGGTTGTTACAAGTCGGTCAAGTTTGGGCTAAACTATACTTTAACAGGTTCCTCCCAAGTTCGGAGTGACTGCAATCTGTCCATCCTGTTTAAGTTATAATTTTGTACTGAAATCAATCTGAAAAGAAAGATATTCACTAAACATGAAAGAGTTTATCACATAATCCANCATCTAGAATTTGAAAATGGTGTTTATTGACTGCTTTAACTAATTCAATCTTTCCTCTAAGCAGCAGCAAGAAGGCACTGGACTAGTTGAAAATGAGTTTGGCTTTGATGGGCATCCCTTGGATGATCCTCCAGTGTAGGGCATCCTCCATGCTTTGGCTTTATCTATGATTCCACTTTCAGGATTAGACTCTCCTCTAATTTCCTGAGAATTGGAGGATCCTATATTTCTCGTTTAAATGGTTAGAATTTGTACACATTAGCAGATTCAATTGATTTTAATCTCAATAATGTAAGATATTTTGTAATCTGCAGATAGGTACATATCCAGACCAATCAAAAGAGAATCGGAGAATCCTTAGGGAGCTGACCCCCAGTTTCTAGTGTACAAAGCTACAATTACAGCTGAAGTGGACGACAAATCAGAGATTCGGAATCCCTTCAGCATTTGAAGTGATTTTTGGAGACCCATTTGAGAATTAAGGCATTAAATCAACTCTGTCCAACAATGTAATTATGAGTAGCTTAATTAGATTCTGTTTGATGGGTGGAAATTCTCTGTTTTCTGTTTTCAGTTGTTGGATGCAAAAACTCACCAGAAAACACATTTGAAGAGAAAAAATAGAAGAGATTTCCAGAAAATCTGAAAACTTGAGAGGCATCAAAGTAACTTTTTTTTTTGTGTAATTGACTTGTGTGTCGATATTTTTGTATCGTGTCATTATTATTTATGTCGTGTTTGTATTAATACCCACAAAAAAAATTTATTTATTATGTTTGTAGTGTCAAACATTAATCTAGATTTTTTAATATGCATATTTATTGATCTTATTATGTCAGATTCATGTTATTGGGTCAGCTTTAACACCCCCTAAATCCTAATCAACTCATGGCAGGTTGTTACAAGTCGGTCAAGTTTGGGCTAAACTATACTTTAACAGGTTCCTCCCAAGTTCGGAGTGACTGCAATCTGTCCATCCTGTTTAAGTTATAATTTTGTACTGAAATCAATCTGAAAAGAAAGATATTCACTAAACATGAAAGAGTTTATCACATAATCCACTTGGAGACAAATAAAACACAAAGCAACGAACGAAATTGAAAAAATCCTGTTCAATGATGTGTACAGAATACCAAACTGTGTAGTATATTAGTAATGTAACAGCAGCAACAATACAACTCTAACATTCATCCCTGCCGAGTCAGGCAATCAACAAAAACCCATCACCGGATTGAAGAACTAGGACGGACTCCGCATAAACAACAGTGACTTGCACGTCCCCTGGTAATTACAAGTGCAAAATACTTCACTGAGCAGTCACTGATCAAGTAACTCAAAAGAATGAACCAATCAGCAGGCTACATAACAAGCAGTCAAGCCTCATCCCAAAAGCTATTGCTGAATCAACATCAGGACGATAATCGCTATAAGGACAGAAGTGATTGAAGCAGAGCCCAATCTATGAGAATTACCCGATGGAAGTACTTTAGGCAGCGAGCATTCCTCGCCATTGAAGTAAACTTTAGTCGGAAACCCATCTCCAGCAGGAACATTGATTCCAGGCAAATTTTTCTTCGTAAATGAGATCACAGACTGTTGTTTCCCAGGCACCCGGGGATCTTTTGCAGGGTCTGCACCATCTGTTTCTGCTACGAGATAGTTCAAGCCTGGAAGACCCTGCATGAATATCGTATTGTTGACACCATTCAATACACTCCCGTTGAATGAGTACACCTTTTGATATCCAGGGGCTGCTGCTTTATCTAGTTCTACAGCAGCAAACCAATCTACAAAAGAAGTATCATCCCAATTAAAGATTGTCATCCTTGCTGTCCATCCACTTGTGTAATCTGTATATAAATGCCAGTTGAGGCTGACCCCACAGTTATCTCCACAGGGCAATGGGTTCGGAATTCGTAGATGATTAACATCCGCCCAAGCTGTAGCCAATTTAGTTCGATTCTCAAATGGGAGAAGAAGAGCCTGAGATGGAAGAAAAAGGGCGGGGGTAGTAGTACTACAAGTCCGACTACTACTACTAGGGCACCCACAAGCACATGTTTGGCATGGGATGATAGATTCATTGTAGTAGGCAGAAAATGATACACAGCATCTGGGGCTTACTCCCTTGGGTTGAGTGATGTTGCATACCACTTGCCAGCTTGCAACTGCAGTTGAATCAGATGGTAACCCACTTGGGTTCGGGAATTGGCTAGGACTCACTCGCACTGGAGGTCCGCATTGGAAGTCCGGATTCAGTGTGCCACTAATTTGCCAGTTCTGTGGTGGACTGAGCTGGGAGCGGTTCAGATCCGGTGGCATTTTGAAGACATTAATCTGGAATGCTGAAGTTGACTTGCTTGGTTCCATTGATGGGGGTAAAATAGTTCCATTTCTGCAACAAAAAGGTATCATCCCAAGATTTGTGTCATTGGCCATTGTTAGGGGCAGGTCAATTATGGTTGGCCTTCTAAGACAATTCAATACAGTGGAAAAGTCAAGGCCCTGATAGTAATCGCCCTGCGAGCCATATATGCAGTCTGTTGCATCAATAACACTGGGATAAGCCCCTTTCATGGCAAAGATGAACTCTTCCTTCATCCAATCCCAGCTTAATTGCCAATTATCAAGACGACCAAGAGGGTTATGGTTTGAAATTGTGACCTGTGCCCAGTAATTGGTATCATATGTTCTGATCACATCATACATTATCGTCAGATCACCATCTTGTCGGGGCAGAAATTCTTCACCTAAGGTGGTGTTGGGATTGAAGTTTGAGTCTTTGGTACAACACACTTGCATTTTGTTCGTCCCTGATAAATCCAACGGCAATTATATAAATTATGGCATTCAAACGGGTGAGACAAAATGTATATCAAACTTCATAAAATAGCTAATATGTTCAGAAGGGACAACAGCTCAACAACCAAGCAACCAAAGGAAAAGAAATTAGGAAAAGGAAAAACATGTAAATTCTCCTATTCAATCCCTATTTTAAGGAGGGAAAAAAAAGTTGAGTCAAGTAGTTGCAAGGTTAAGCAAGACATCATTATCGACACAAGGTCACGTCTAAGATAAACTCATAAATTCTTCAATGAGATCAACTCCATCTCACATAGGTTCTACTAAAAGGGGACTCAATTCAAATATTGAAGTCCTCACAATTAAAACCGACACCCCGGAGCCATTAGTTTACTTACCGTATATTTTGTATCATCTTGTTCAACATTCTAAAAATTTAGTGCACTGGTGTCTTGATTTATGTTTGCCCAGTCATACACCAAACTCTTGTCAGTTCTACAAGCAATCACTCTATTCCATAATTTTAGAGCTATAAGTTTGGGATGTCCATCCAAATCCAAGTCATCCGTGATCAAGTAGATACAAGTCAACTACAAGCAGAATGGGTCAAACCGCCTCTCTTACTCCAATCTTGCATTCCCCTGGCCCATTTCTCATATGACATACCAAAGGGCAATTCTCAAAACTTAAAAATGCCAAAACAAGAAATCTGAAAAGCCACAAGGCCTGGAATTGCTAGTGTTATTCCACTGTAAGGTGTTACTAAGTCATAGCCTGGAAAGGGTATTATAACAATTAACAGCCAGACCAAATCAACACCTGTTTAACAGAATTAAAAACCGCAATTGAGCTCAATCTTCTCATCATTATTAACTAAAACAAAAATAACAAACTATGACATAAAACAAAAATCATTTCACCCTAGTATTGGGCTTCTACTTCATAGTAAAATAGCAAATTTTCCAGTGAAATAGCAAGGAGGTATGAAATTGGTAACAGAAAGAATAGTTTTCACTGGTTGACAGCCTATCTTAAGGTTGAATTACATTGTGAGATCATTGCTTGGTGCAAATATAATATGCTTAAACTATCTTTCACCCCATTTTTGGCCAACAAGCAACCAAACAAAGGATGAATCTAAAATTTTCAAAAAAAAATGTCAAACTTTTAGAAGCCCTTAAAAATAGTTCCCCATAAATCTTGTGTAATGTCACAAAAATTCCAAATCTCCTTTCCATTTTCCTACCATTTCTCAGCAACCAAACAAAGCATGGGGATAATAAATTGAAAAACTGCCACAAAAAAGCCCAAAAGAAAGCAGATCAAATCAAACTCATCAAGTATTAACAAAACCCATTCATACTACATGTACAAGTATACATCTAACTAGTTCAACATAAACAAAATATTTTTTAAAAAAATAAAATAAATAAAAAGGCTTACCTTGCTTAGTGGGCGTAGGGCAGATAAACCCATCATTGACAAGCGAAATATTCGACGGCATTGGCACATCCGGATCTCCAACTCCGTACTCCGTACCCACCAACTGGATTTGAACACTCATCTGAGTCATATCACCAGCTGTCGCAACAGCAGTGTTGAGATCCGTATTCGGGTACCCAGCAAAAACGGTGCCGTTTCCAACCTTCGCCGGAAGACTAGTCCCGTCGGCGAGCACGGCATTCGAGGCAGACACCAACACCTCATTGTTTTCGAAACCCACAAAGACCCGCCAAGACTTGAGCTCATCGAGTCCATTGTTTACAACGGTCAAAGTGGACTCGAACCGGTAGGGCTGTTGGGTCGGGTCCGACTTGAGGTTCGGAGGGATTAGTCTTCCTCCGGTATAGGCGTACGTTAAGAATATGCCGTTACAGGCATCGGAGGCCGGTGACGGAGCTTGGTTTTGGGCTGGTTGTGCTTGTGATTGCTGAGCTATGGTGGCTGTGTAGGTGAAGATGCTGAGGAGGGCAGTGAAGAAGACAGAGAGAGAGGTGGCCATGTTCTTTGAATGAATGAATTTCAAACTCTGAATGAAGAGAGAGAGAGAGAGAGAGAGAGAGAGAGAGAGATTATAGGGGCAAGTAAAGCAAGTAGGAAACGCGGAGAGGAAAATAGGAAATAACGACAGCTTTGTGGAAGCTGTATTATTGAGTTTACTTTAAGGATTTTTTTATAAAATGTTTACACTAATTTCAGTCACACCCCTATAATTAGACCTAATAATGAGAATACTTTTTATATTGTCTAAAATAACAATGATTCATGCCTTATCAATTCATGCATTTTGTAAACGAGTGTATCCAAAATAACACGATACAATTAATAAATTAATCGAGTATGAGTGAAATAAATTAAAAAAAATATATGACATGATTCACTTATATACTAGTTATACACAATTCATATACATCACAAACTTAATATGATACGATTCTTTAAATACAAATTAATAAATAAATCGAGTATGGGTAATATATTTTTCAATACAAATTCACTAAGACTCAATACACCTGACACAATTAACAAGCTTACTTTCCACCACCCCAATGTCCTAATTCCAATTCAAAAAGTTTCCTTACTTTTCATTTTCTCTGCCTCCCTCGCCCTCTCCCATTATCCACCCATGAACACCCACCCTCACGAGAATGTGTGTATGGAGAAAGAAAGAAATAGAAAAGAAGAAGAAAATGTGGGTGCTTGTGTGTGTATGTATAATGTGTAAGTGCAAGTGTAAGGGAGAAAGAAATATAGAAGAAAAAAAATAAACGAGGCAAATAGGAATATGATGAAAGATAATCTTGACATTTTAGAAAAATCTTTGATGGCATTAATAAATTTTGTCATGTCGAATAACATCTGAAACAACTGGGGGGTGTGAGTGTAATTTTTGGAAAATACAAAGGAGGTCCCTACGACTACGGTGGCTTACCCCTAAATATTTTATCTTTTGAAAAATATGATTATTATTGTTGACAATAGCGTGGCGTTTTTGGGTGCGTCACCGGTTGTATGTATGAAAGAAACGAGTAAAAATAAAAATAAAAATATTTTCCTTAAAAAATAAAAAATATACTAGCCGATTGACCTAATAATTATTGATTTCAATGTTAGATTATTTAAGAGTAATATTATGTAACTCAAATTTATAATTTAAATTTATATTTCAAATGGAGGTAGATTATTGGATGAGTAGGTCCCATTAATTTTTTTAAATAGAACTTACTAATCTAATAATCCCTTTTCATTTGTGATATAAATTTAAATTATATAACATTTCACATGATTTAAATCTCGCCGTTAGTGTCTCACAAAATAAAATAAAGTTGGACTGAGAGACGTTACTCGGTGAAAGCATTCTTTAGCGTCTCTACATTTTAAATATGGAAACGGTATGCGTCGGCATGGGTGGGAGAGCAAAACAAATGGACTTTTGGGGCCTGTTTGGAGAGGGTATTGGGGTTTTTGGTAAAATGAATTTGAAAAAAAATAGTTTTAAGAATCTCTAAATTTTATGTTTGAATTGAAAATTTAATCTTGTATTCTCAAATTCCACCCATAATTGGTCTGAAGATTAAAACTGTGATCACGAGTTTGACAAAACCTAATGAGAGGAGAGTGGGTTTGGGAAGATAGATTAAGAGGTTAAGAATATAAAAGACAATTGTACCCCTTAATATGTGTATGAATTAAATTGATCAAGGGTAAAATAGTCATTTATAAAATAAATAATTATTAATAATTATGATATATACATAGGTCTTACATGTGTATTTATT